ATCGGGGATGAAAAGAGCTCCAGCCGGAGGGTCCCTCTGCTCTTGGCTTCCTGTACTAAGGAACCGTCATGCTTCCCCGAAACGAAGGGAACAGGAAAAGGGGGGTGATGGAACCGGGAAGCCGGGGCTGGTCGGCGTTGGGTTTGTGTCGTTTGGCTGGTGTTGAGCTGCCGCAGGCGCTGCGGGATCAAGGTTGGGTGGGAAAAGAGCAGTACCATGTATCCGTACGGATACGCAGGACTGGCAGCTGGAAGTGGACCTGCAAAAGCTGCCCTTGTCCTGGCACCAGGCGGCGGGACTGCGACTTGTGGTGTTTTCGCGCGGCTTTGCCATCACCGTCGTTCGTCTCTCCCCCACTATCGGCAGGCTAACGTCGTGAAGGTTCAACTTGCAATACGGGAAGTCCGTCCACAACGAAGCGAAGCTTTGGCGGCGGTTTAATTCTTCAGTGTTAGCGTGTTGATCGTTCCCTCTGGGCTGGCTGTGCTCTGCTCCTCTGCTCCTCTGCTCCTCTGCTCTTCCTTCGTGGAGTCCCATCATCTTCACCGTCTTTTCGAATGCGTCTGTTAGAGTTTCCTATCGGCGGGAAACGTGGGGAGAGGACGTGACTCCGCGGCGAGGGCGGAAGCAAGTGTTCGGGGCCGGGGAGGGAGACTTTTCGTTATCGGTATCAGCGTCGACGCCATATGCAATGCGCAATGCGCAGCGTGCAATGTACAGTGTCAACGTGACCAACGATGCGGTGAGAGACAGAGACGAGGTGTTGGAGCACAGTTCCAAGTCCGGGGCACCAGAGTCATTGACGTGATGAGGTTATCATCAACCAGGGGCATGGAGCACCTGCTGCTCTTGGCGGCCGTCAACGCCGAACGATGGAGAGAATACGGAGGCATCAAGCATGAAGCATGGGGGGCAAGCCGGGCAATGACAGGCGATTGACTGACTGTACGGATGTTGCAACAGCCCATGACCGTGTCGACCAATGTGTGCAGCGTGGTGCACCGTGTTCGGGTTGCAACGATAGTGCCTTCCCGTCGTCTACTTTGCATGTCGGGAGGGTTTGCAATGCCTGGGAAGGGAAGGGAAGGGAAGGGAAGGAAAAAGAAAGAAAAGACGGAGCCGGTAGCCATGATCGCCGCCTTGTCCCTTCCCACGCTTCAGGAGGTGTTCAGGTGGCAGCCATGCCATGCCAGGGCGTTGGACAGGGGCCAAGGGTGTTGGGTTCCATCTTGTCTTGAGCTGGCTGTCCTGTCCTGTCCTGTCTTTGCCTTGCCTCAGGGCGACGTGACCATCCTTCCCTTGCCCCAGAGCTCAAGGCTCAAGGCTCAAGCTCAAGCAACGCAACGCAACGCAACCTAAGCTTACGCCCAGGTGGCAGGGCGAAGTTTCTGACCCTGCCCTGGTCGCTGAACTCAAAATCTCTTGCTCGTTCCTGATCTTCGTCACCGCTCTGTACTCAAATGCGACCTCACGTCCTCTTCTCCTGCGCCAGTCGCAGGGTCTCTGCCGCCCTCTCGCTACACCAACAAAGCCGCTGCAGTCACGCAATCCAACGGCTGCCGACACTGGGACTTTGGGATAGACTGGAGTGGTCAAATGAACATGAACACCTCTCTGGCCGGCGAGGACCAAAGGCCATCTCGCAACTCGGCTGTACCGATCCGCCCCAATGTTTGCTCGCGGATCGGCGTTTAGCCCTGGCCGGGCCCTGACTAGGAGCAGGAACGGGGGCGCTGGACCTTGACTTTGCAGAAGAGTGCAGGACCGCCTAAGCAACAGAACAAGGGTCCATCTGGTCGACTGGACTGCCCGGCCTGCTTGACCAACCCGTCGGGACCGTTTCCAACATCCCCCGGACCTACCATATCCTCTGTCTCCTTTCTTTGGTCCACTCTTCACCTCACGAAACATGCTACCAAAGAGGTAGTGAAAAGATACGTTTCTCCGAAGAGAGACGCTCCGACGTGTCTCTATCGGCCCTATCACGCTCCAATGTCGACGCTTGGACGTGCCGTCGGAAGTTTTGCAGACGTGCCATCCGTGTAAGTCCATTGGAGACTGGCGACAGCAATGAGCAGCGGTATCAATCCCCTGGCAGTTTAACATCTGCCGCAGCTACGGCAGCATCCTAAATACACGCGCCATCTTTACCGTTCTTAACTTTCGGCTAAGTCCTTTAGGGCGGTCCTATTTTTGAAATGAAGATATCAGAAGCGAAGTTGACGCGCGCACAGAGGACGAGAGCGTTCAGCACATGGGCGGGAGGTGGAGAGAGGCGGTCAGCAGCAATCCGGCAACTCCAGATTACACATTGCATCTGCCCACGTTCCATCCCGTCGCCATACATGTTTGCCTTTTTTTGCAGAAAGAGACAAAGGCCGTTATCTCCTCCCGAGTTACACACAGGTGGCAGAGCCAATGGCAAACGGGATATCGAACCGACCATAACAATCTCAAAATCCGAGCGACCCTTGACTACTTCAAGCCTCTCTGCTATCCTCGTGACGAACAACGGTTACAACATTTCTTTTTTTTCGTGATATTTCTTCCGTCCGGCACGGACGGGTTCCCACCAGAAGTACATACAGTCAAATAATGCCTGCCTTTGCATGACAAGAGCCTGACTTTCAACAGCCAAAGACGGAGAACTCGCTACTGCAGGAGGCTGCGTGTCTCGGCGGAGCCTGCATACCCGACCATCCCCGACTTGCCCGCCAGCATCATCGACAATCGCGTAACAGCGCATGATCGAGACTGACGGGTTGGTCTGACAGGTGCCGCAAGTTGTTAGGGAGCAAGTCAAGCAACGCCAGCAACTCGACCGGCCTCGCGCGATTGCTTGTCAACTCTTGGGCGCCATGCCCTGCCCTGCGAGGCGGCCAACGCAGCAACGGCAGCTAGGCCGTTTCTGATGTAAGAAGCCGGCGTCAAATGTACATCTCCCGCTCGTGTCTCGCCAGACCCTGCCAGAATTGCAGACGGGCAGCCGTATGAAGACTTCCGGAGCAAGGATGCCACAGATTTGCACAGCACCTCATCCGCACCTTATTTTTTTCTAGTGACCTACGTGTCGCTAGCAGAAGAAAAACACGCCCTGGCTGTGTTTGCCACATCATCTGTCTTGTATCGTCTGGCCGCTTCCACAAGCCCTGCTTTGGATGCATGCGGAGTTGTTCTTTGGCTTCTCTGCATGCCATCGCCCGCAAGATTGCCAACGAGCTGGTGGTCGTATCGATCGCTTCGAAAGGGTCAAGTCCTTCAGGGGCAATGCCCAGGCACGAGTAGAAATGTGAGGCGGTTCAGGCCAACGTTCCAAAGAGAAAATTCAATGGCTCTCGATGTTCAGGGACATGTGTTGTCGCCAGTTTCGTGTATCGATGCGGGCCATCACGTCAACCTCGCCATACAGTTATAGCAATGACCTCACGGAATAGATTTACAACTCTCTGGCTGTCACATGAGCACACAGTGACACGTCTATGCCCAGGGTCCTCGCAGATCGCCCAAAAGATGTGTGTGTTTTGCGATCCGATTTCGCACGTCGGTCGATGCTGCAAGTCGATCAGGGCTACGCAACGGAAAGACCAAAGATCGACATCAAGGACGACTTCTGCGACGTAGGTGCCAAGGCCACATTAAGATGAGGAGTATTACAACTTCCAGTGGGGAAAAGCAAGAAAGACCCAGCCAGCCCCATGTTGGTTGTATCGATGGCGAACGTGTTCCGGGCGTTGGCATGACCTGCAGCAAGACCCAGCTCCAGAGGCCCAACGGACACCGCCAGGGTGGAGATTGGACGGTCCCAGAAGGCACTTCTCAATGAGGAAGGATGCATAAGTGTGGAATTATTGCAGCCTGCCGGACTCACTACACTCGAACCCGGTGCAGGGCACGCAGGTCACTTTCAAGCGGATCGCAGCCCGAGAGTCCAGTCCAGTCCAGTGTTGTTCCATGAGAAATCTCCGCTCCCGCTGCGGTGGGCCTGCCGTGTATGACGAACATGCCGGGCCCCATTCGCCCGCTCCAGGGTTGCACTTGGGCTTCTCTTCAGGGGGCCTCCGGCTCGGCCGTGTGGCCCACCATGGCCCGCCGACGGCCGGATCCGTATCACGGCGCTGGCGTCGGGCAATAGTCCTGTGCAGAATAGAACACGAGTCGCAAAGGCCCATGACCGAAAGCCAGCGCCAGATGACGTCCCTGGACGTCGGATCCGCGTCGCGCAACCTGAACGCTGTGCCACTCAAGCACCAAGGAGCCGCCAGATCGGGGCCAGATGGGGCGATGGCAGAGAGCGCCTGTCGTCCAACGGACAAGGCCTCGGCCAACTGGCAATCGGGTACCAAGAAGGCCGGGCTGTGGTATCAAGGATGGGAATCAAAGGTCGGCTGGTGATGGAGGGGAGCACAGCGTCAGCACTGACACGGTTGAGGGTGGCCTGAGTGAGAGAAAACAGGAATAAGCTGCGGTGCATATCCTCCGTAGCAGTCAGTTCTGAAGACTCTCGTGCGACCCTCCCATGGCCATTCTCTGTCAGAACGGTTGCCGCATATCAGACTGTCAAAACGGCGCCCAAGGGTCAAGCCAGCTGTCCACGGAAACAGTCCCGTGGACGGAACTTCGTGGTGGCCATGTGAGACGACCTTTCCCCCCTAATTACCCCAGCTCATTCAGGTGTTGTCTAATCGATAAATTGGCCTGGAGACGCGGGGGAAATGGTGGAGGCCGAGTTACCTCGGTACCCCACAAGCGACCGACCGGGGCTGGGCGTCTTCTGGTCCTCGTCCACGGCCGGACCGAGTCAGCTAGACTGCCGTCAGAATCGCTGCGCCTCTACTTTTATTGCGCTGCTTTAACCTGTTTCCTACACCACGTAGTCTAGAAAGCGTGCAGCTCTTGTTTCCTCCTTTCCCGCATCCCTCTTAGATCCGTCTTTTGTGTGCGTTGTGTGTTCCACAGAAAATAGAGATCAGAGAACGTGTCCGCAAAGCTGTCGCCCAACCATGCCTTTCAACACTGAGCTGACCCGACGGTTGGGTATCAAAGGTACGTCAAGACTCGAGATAGATGACGGCGGAGGACTGGGTATGGGAGTGCACAACACATCAGAGCGAGCGTCACAATGCATTTCAGGCCACCACTTGGATGAGAACCCGACCGCGCTGACACGCTCTCTTTCTCCTCGATAGTACCCATCGTCCAGGGCGGCATGCAGCACGTCGGCACAGCCGACCTCGCCTCGGCCGTCTCCAACGCCGGCGCCCTGGGAATCATCACCGCCCTCATCTTCCCGACCCCCGAAGAGCTGCGCAAGGAGATCCGCCGCTGCAAGACCCTCACGAAGTACCCCTTCGCCGTCAACATCACCCTCCTGCCGGCGCTCGTGCCCCCGGACTACGGCGCCTACGCCCAGGTCGTCATCGACGAGGGCATCCGCATCGTCGAGACGGCCGGCAACTCGCCCGGGCCCGTCATCAAGCAGCTCAAGGCGGCGGGCGTCACGATCCTGCACAAGTGCACGACGATCCGGCACGCGCAGAGCGCCGTGAAGCTGGGCGTCGACTTCCTCAGCATCGACGGCTTCGAGTGCGCGGGCCACGTGGGCGAGTCGGACATCACCAACTTCATCCTGCTGTCGCGCGCGCGGCAGTCGCTCAAGGTGCCGTTCATCGCGAGCGGCGGCTTCGCGGACGGCGAGGGGCTCGCGGCGGCGCTGTGCCTGGGCGCGTGCGGCATCAACATGGGCACGCGCTTCATGTGCACGCTGGAGGCGCCAATCCACCACAAGATCAAGGAGGAGATCGTCAAGGCGCAGGAGACGGACACGGCGCTGCTGCTGAGGCGGTGGAGGAACACGACGCGCCTGTACCGCAACAAGGTCACGGAGGAGGCGATCAAGGTCGAGCAGGAGAGCACCTCGGGCGAGTTCTCCGAGATCGCGCCGCTGGTTAGCGGGAAGCGCGGGAAGGAGGTGTTTATCACTGGTGATCCGGACTATGGCGTAAGTGTTTTCACGCGCGGCTTGCACACAGAATAACTGCTAACATGGGAAAACATAGGTCTGGACAGCCGGTCAGGTCATTGGACTGATTCATGATATCCCCTCGGTCAAGGACCTGGTGCCCAGGATAGAGAAAGAGGCCGAGGCGGCGCTGAAGGAGAGGTTGTCGCTCATCCAGCCGGTAGCGAAATTGTAGAGGTCCTCCACGACGGGCCACGATGATAGATCTGTAGAATGATGTTTGTACTATTGCTCACGATGATTTCTTAATCCCCAACGACGTCATGTCTCGACCTGCACCCGTGCACATGAACATGGCCATCCATTTGCGGCAATGTCCTGGCCCTGTGAGCAACATTCTTGCAGCGGCCACCTCCTATTGGCGTAGGCTGTTGACTCGCGGTGCATCTTCACATGGGAAAATGACGGAAAACACGGGGTAACCCCATACACGGATCTAACAATCTTCAAAGCCAAGCAAACACGTGTCCCACTCGGTCGGAATTGCAGCAGACAAAGCACCGGCCGCAGTTTTGCAAGGTGAAGGCGGGAGGTCGGTCTGATCCAGCCACATAGTCCGCTCACCGTGATTGTTATTCCAGCTCGAGGAGTTTATGTCAGTACTCTAATCATGTGTCCCGTGACGAGAAAAAAAAAAGGCAGAATTGGTGATCAGGCGCAGATGCTTGTGACGCAGACCATTGACCTTTGCGACGGTCTCGGCAGCGTTCCTTCAGCGACGTCCAATAGCGTCGTCTTCCCCCGCAACGAAGGTCGCAGTATGGGGGATGCGGAGGCAAAGGCAAGCCCAGTGGAGCTGTTGCAGCAGCAGCAGCAGCATACTGCACTGAGTGAGGTACTCCGTTCCTAAGGTACAGCACGAATCGCAGCAGGAAACATGCGAGAAAAGTGGCATGTGAAAGCCTCCAGCGCAGTCGGTGCTAGCGCGTGCGGGTTAAGCGGGTCCCCCCCAACCTTGGTCGTTTCGCACCAATGCGGTGTGGCCTTTGAGAATGCCTCGGTCGGAATTGCAGATACCCCAGCTGACATCAGCGCCCACGGCCCCCAGCACCGCTGGTTTCTCGAACTGCCACCACGTCGCGGCTCCTTTGTCACGCCTGCTCTGAACATCCGAGGCTCGTCTGCCAATCTGAGATCCGATCCATACCTAGTCCCCGTCGTAGACCTTTTTCTTATCCTTTACATACTTATCCTCTCCCATCTACCGCTGCATACCTTCACATCCCCAGCATCTCTTTGTTTACTATATCCACCAATCTTTAAAGCTTCACATCTACACAAAATGGGTGGTGAGTAGCTTGCATTGGCTTCCCGATGATTGTCTGCGATGCTAACAGTCATGTCTGAATAGCTCTCGAGAGATTGACTCAGCTGGGAGGCCAGTTCTCCAGCGGCAGCAACAAGGAGAAGCTCCTCCAGAAGAACGCCGACGATGTAAGCTCCAAACCTCGGCACACGCGGAGAATAACCCTTTCTAACACTCCTCTCCCCAGGTTGTTGTTACCGCAGCCCTCCGAACGGCCTTCACAAAGGGTGGCAAGGGTGGCTTCAAGGACACCCAGGCTGCCGACCTCGTCGCCGGCGCCTTCAAGGCTCTCCTTGAGCGCTCCAAGATCGATCCTGCCCTCGTCGAGGATATCGCCGTCGGCACTGTCCTTGCCCCCGGCGGTGGTGCTACCGAGATGCGCGCCGCTGCCCTCGTCGCTGGCTTCCCCGAGACCACTGCCGTCCGCACCCTCAACCGCCAGTGCTCTTCTGGTCTGCAGGCTTGCGTCGACGTCATCAACCAGATCAAGACCGGCATGATCGAGATCGGCATTGGCGCCGGTGTTGAGAGCATGTCCACGCAATACGGGTAGGTTCACATCTCGACTACCACTATTTCCAGAAGCTAACTGACAGTTCTCCAGCCCTGGCGCCGTTTCCGAATTCTCCGAGCAGCTTGAGAACACCCCCCAGGCCGCTAACTGCAAGGTTCCCATGGGTGTTCTCTCCGAGGACATGGCCCGCGACCTCGGCATTGCCCGCACCAAGCAGGATGCCTTCGCCGCCTCCTCCTACGCCAAGGCCGCAAAGGCCCAGGCGGAGGGTCTCTTTGATCAGGAGATTGCCCCTCTCACCGTCAAGTGGGAGGACCCCAAGACCGGCGAGACCAAGGAGATCACCGTCGCAAAGGACGACGGTGTCCGCGCTGGCGTCACCGCTGAGTCCCTGGGCAAGATTAAGCCTGCCTTCGCCAAGGACGGCAGCATCCACGCCGGTAACGCCTCTCAGGTTTCCGACGGTGCCGCTGCCGTTCTCTTCATGAAGCGCTCCACTGCCGAGCGTCTCGGCCAGCCCATCCTCGGCAAGTTCGTGTCGGCTGCCATTGTTGGTCTGCCGCCCTTGTTGATGGGACAGGGTCCTGCCAAGGCCATCCCCAAGGCCAACGCCCTCGCTGGCATCGCCACCGAGGACGTCGATATTTACGAGATCAACGAGGCGTTTGCCTCCCAGTGTCTGTGGAGTGCCGAGCAGCTCGGCATTCCGTTCGAGAAGGTCAACCCCAAGGGCGGTGCCATCGCCTTTGGCCACCCTCTGGGCTGCACTGGCGCGCGACAGGTCTCCACCCTGCTGTACGAGCTTAAGCGCACGGGCAAGAAGATTGGTAACACTTCCATGTGTATCGGTACCGGTATGGGCATGAGCGCCGTCTGGGTTGCCGAGTAAATGGGCACACCACAATGAACTTGTATTTTATAGCATTTGGCCTGGTTGTATATCAACAGAGTGGTTCTTGGGATTAGGCGCATGAATACGATTGGATATGACCTTCACCTTAATACTTTGCGGGTACTTCAATGTCTCGGAATGCTCCCACTTGGAAGCAATAAAGATGATAGGTGAGGTAGAGCCAATGCAAGGAAGGACTTCATAATAGTGCTGTGCCGTGGCACGGTTTATACAAGTATTGTGCTGTACTTTCATCCATGAAAAATCTTCACTTCTGGGTAGGTATCCAGCCCAGGCCTTGCCCAACGCCACAAGAAAAGCTTCTTCTTCACGACCAGAGTCATGCTCCAGCCCGCAATGAAAAAAAGGAAAAAAGGACACGCCTGTCAGACGTCCATCGACACCCACCCTGCCCGCGCGCCCAAGGGCAAGACCGCAGACAGGGACGAGATCATCACCGCTCTCTATACAGCCCCAGAAACAAGTCCGAGGCCGCCATCCTTTCGGATAGGTCGAGAGCAACCAGGAGTTCTTCACTCTAGGGTGTCGAGGATACAACTCATCAACCAGGGTGGGATCTGTGGCTCTTTTAGGGAACCAAGAATAGGTCGAATACTATAGAAATGATTCTCCTGTTGGGCGGTGGTTAGCAAACCGTTTGTTCGTGCTGTGGGGGACAAAGGTAGGGGGTGAGACATACTGAAGTATTGTCGACATGAAGAAAAGAAGAAGAGAAAAGGTGAAAGGATGGCGCGGTCGACGAGACTTTATAGAAGTTCTGGAGGGGGAGCACGTCCCGCGCCGGCTTGGTGGGGCTGCGGCTCTGAGGTCGATGGTGGGGTCCGACAGAAAAAATCCAGATGGGAAAGTGCAGTTGCGATTTTTTTTTTACAATGAGCGGGAACGAAGGTGGGGCTGGCCGTTGAGGGAGGAACGGCTGCTTGTACCGGCTGGCGGGAAGAGGAAGATGTGCCCGGTGGGCTTTGATGACGCCGAGTTCTTGATCAAGCAGCTTGCTCGTGTGCTGGAGGAGAGAACGAGATGTGCTGGTGCGGATTGCGACAAGATGCTCACGCCTCATATTGATGCATACCACAAATCTTAGCATCAACTAATGGTTTCGTGGTGTAGTTGGTTATCACGTCAGTCTAACACACTGAAGGTCTCCGGTTCAAGTCCGGGCGAAATCAATGTTTTGATTTTGCATGTCTTAACCACAGTTCCTTTTTTCCTTCCCTGCTCTTCGCGACGGAAAAAGATTGTTGGACCGTTGTTTCTTCAGACTTGAGTGATTCATTTGAGTGAAGTACCAAAACAGGTCTGCCGTTGATCCGTTCTGTCTAGACCACTGTGAGTTATTGGCGAGTGCTGTGTGTGCGACATTCGTTTGAGACGTCCCTGAAGAGAAACAGCACGTTCCCTCCTGCTCTTAGGACTGTTTCCTCCCTTTCCCCTTCTCTGCGTCTGTGTCTGCTTTTTCGTCTTTGGACATGTACACGCCTACATGCTCACGGTCATCTCTGATTTCTGTTGCGAGCCTTCGTCCGTTGCCAACCCTGTTCCCTGCCCATTCCCCGCGAACGATCGGCATGCTGAACAGATCTGGCTGAAGCCTGATAATCAACTCGTTGAAATCGGTATGTTGGGACGTCTGATAGACTGTGGCTCGTTCTGATTTTGAGTAACCCGTAGTAGACAAGTTCTAATGGCATCCCGGGTACATGCTTTTCAGCTTGATGACGATAAACCTGGTGTTCAACCGAAACGGGGGTAATCGCTTAGCTTGACGACATGCCCATTGCAATTTTGCGTATGCGAACAAACCTGAAAATGGATGGTCGGTTCATCCTCCCGGGGGGAGAATAAAATGCAGTGAAAGTCGCCGGTCGTGCCTGACCCGGCATCAGACAAGCAAGCGAACCAACGACAGCCCCTGTTTGAGTATCAACTGGGAAGGAGCAGACGAAACCAAATGTCACAAGAGGACGCCAATCCATAAACGCCTCTCCCTTCCGAGTACGTCATCCCCCCGATGCCGCATCACCTAGCTCATCTCCATGACGGGACATATCCGCCGCATGGCGTAGTTGATCCGTCATGTACGACTGCAGTGGTATCCTTGGGGTCGCTGGATAGTCACATCAAACGGTGCTGATCAAAAAAGAGAGAATCGGCTAGAGTTGTTGTCTCCCTAACCGCTCTGCCAAAAGATATCTCGAGCTGCCAGGACAACCTGTCCCAGCCTGGTCATTGGCGATCAATGGAAACGGCGCTACCAATCTGGTATGCATGTGTTATTTAGCTTGAATATGTCGTCGACATTCATCATGACAAGAGGTGCTCTTGCCCCGGCCTCTTGTACGTAAGGAAAACGAGGTTACCTCTGGAGACTGAACTTTCCTTCGGCACGTGTTCGTTAACCCCGTTCATATACTACATGACCTGTAGATCCACCTATTCCGT